AATCAGCAGGTTAAAGTTACCAAATAGAGGGGAGAGCATTTGAGGATTTGGGTCCCATCCCCAGAGTCCAAACACTTGAACCCCCCTCCACTTTCTCCTTATTACTCCCCTTACTAAAATACGCATGATGTCATGATCTGAAAAATTATAGCAATTAATCAGAGCTACTGAATCCTACCCATTCGACTAATCACAATTATACAAACTGAATCCTCCTCAGAGGCAGAGGCCTGCAAACTACCACACACCAGAGAAGAGAAGAAAGAGAAATTAAACTTTAAGAGACAGTTCAACTTTTCAGTACTTTTGTCATAATGACTGCACTGGCTGTCTGCACCTGATATATAATATTTCAAGATCAGATAAAAAAAATTAAATAAATAAATAAAAATTGACATTTGACTTCTTGACTGAAAAACAGCTAGAGGTTTTTGAGAACTTGGGCCACAGGTCACACTATACCTAACCAAATCCCAATGTTTATTGAGAGGAAAGAAGAGATTTATTTTGCATTTCATTTCACATAGAAGAAAGTAACATGCACAATTTCACTATAAAATTGAGTGCTGATCGACTACAGATGTTAAATCTAAATTCTGGACGCATCTAATCTGGAACGCATTTGAAATCCATCATTAATTGTCCACTTATACACCCTTTTTTAGAACTTATAAACATAATCCTGTAGGGCCATTCACAAAAACAATGGAACTGAACAGAAGGTGTGTTTATTATGAATGGTCTCTCATACATAAAGTGCTAACAATTAATATAATTAATTGTGACATTTTATATAGCACTTCAAAAATATGTAAAGTACCTTGAGTATTTTAAGGAAGAAAACCACCTCCAGTGTGTAGCATCCACCTGGATGATGTGACAGCAGCCATAGTGCACCCACCACACATCTGTTAATTGTTGGAGAGGAGTGATTAAGCCAATCAAAAGATATAGGGATGATTAGGAAGCCATGATGAACAGAGCGCAGTGGGCAAATTTGGTCAGGATGCCAGGGTTATACCTCTACTATTTTCAAAGGACTTCCTGAGATTTTTTTCATGACCAAAGAGGTCAGGGATACAGTTTAACGTCTCATCCAAAGGATGGTGCATTTTGACTGTTCAACATCCCCATCGATAGGACACACACCGAGCACCCCCTGCTGGCCTCACTAGCACCTCTTCCAGCAGCAACCTACTTTTCTCAAGAGGTCTCCCATCCAAAGTACTGAACAGGCTCAACCCTGCTTAGCTTCAGTGATCAACCAGGTGAGAGGTTCAGAGTGATAGCTGCTGGCTTTAATGTACACTACTATTAAAAAGTTATTATTTGATCAAAAATAGTAAAAACGGTCATATATTAAAATAAAAACTAATTTCAATTGTAGAAATATTTCACTATTTTAAAATGCAATTTATTCCTGTGATGGCATTTACTAATATACTGATTTGGTGCTCAAGACACTTTCAAGAAAAATTTATTTTTTATCAATGTTAAAAATTGTTGTCCTGATCAATATTTCTGTGGGAACCGTGATACTTTTTTAATTCTTTCATGAATAGAAGAAACAGCATTTATTTAAAATTAAAAAAAAAAAAGTTTTGTCACTTTTGATTAATTTAATGCATCGTTGCTGGGAAAAAAAACACTATGACAATGCAGTCTATTTAGATGCAATCAAAAACTAGTTAGCCATCACATGTATTACAAGCATGGCCCGACTTACCATTGGGCTTGAATGGGCTGCAGCCCAGGGGCCCCGCCTTAATCCATTTACATTTGTTCAGCTATGTGCCAGTCAGAAATTATTAGCTGCATTTCAACTGCGCACACGGGCCAGCCGGGGCTAACAGCTTCCAGCTTCCAACTACAACATTCGAACCCATAATCAAACAGCATAAACTGGAATTTATTATTTTTTTTCACATAGAAAAAGGACACGCGTATTAAATCACGTCTGCGCTGAACCGAATCGCCGATTAATTTGTGATCACATGGCTACTTTAAACGGTTCCATTAAGCCTTTAGCCCAAAAGAGCGCACATTTACAAAGATGATAAATTCTCACATGTTCACACCTCACTTCTTTACAGAGGATGATTCTATATTATATTAATGTTCCACTAAATTAATCTGAAGAGTTTTGAGCGCTCTTTCCCGTCCAAAGACTATAGAATACCCAAATATCTTAAAGGGACTTTGTCCCGTCTCACTACCTCCACACAAAGTGGAGCAGAAATTTCTAAAAAAATTGGCCATTTACAGGGTTCATTCGGTCATGAAAAACCCAGAAAGCTTTGGAAAAGTCGTGGAAATTTATTTTACAAATCTCTATATAATAGAATATATGTTTAATCACGTCCTGAATCTTGGTTTTACTTATTTTCGCAGGTTTTCAAAATTCCCGCAAACATTTATTTAATATACAATGTAGGTTAGATGAGTTAAAAAAATTCACACAGAATATCAGATTAAGTCAGTCATTTGTAAACAGCGCGAGTGGTTCAGCTGTACCGCGTCTTCTCGTTCTCACTCTCAAAATTGCCTCACATCAGCGCATCTCCTCTGCACTAAGATAGCTGCTGCACGCTGCAATACAAGACTTTAGCTCAGCTGACAGAACTGTCACTTGCCTAATCGGGTCAGTGTTGCATCATCACAAAAGTTTATTATTTGCACGTATTTTTAAACCAGTTGGTACTCACGCACTCCAAACTAGTTTTCTGGGCGCTCACGGTCACATCCAAAGCACCCGCGTGTGTGTGTGTGTGTGTGTGTGTGTGTGTGTGCGCGCGAGTGAGCGGGGTGTGTGTGTGTGTGTGCGCGCGAGTGAGCGAGGGAGAGAGAGAGCGGTGTGTGTGTGTGTTTATGTGTGGGTGCGTGCGTGCGTGCGTGAGCGCGCGAGCGAGAGAGAGCGAGACACATCACAGTGGAGTCAGCTGTCTTAACCGTGGCTTGTGTACCGCAAACAAATTCATCACTGTGT